GGGGGGGGGGGTCTGTACCTGCATTTTGTTGCAAAGAGCTCAGGACACCAACAGAGAAGAAAACAGGGTGGCCTAGGTGGTAATAAAAATTTCTATCAAAGAAGAGTACAGCTGTGTGACGGGGGGAATGGGTGAAGCTGCAGTCAGCACCCCTCAGCTTGCGAGCACACCAAGTTCTAGTCTCTCCTCGCTGTGGGCCAGTGCGAGCCAGTGCCTCCCGGAGCCGTTCCTAGCGTGCTGACTGGACGGGTGCGGGTGCGGGTGCGGGTGCGCGCGCAGGACTGCACAGCACAGGAGCACAAGCACAGGACGGGGCAGCCCCAGCCCTACCACCACCACGGACAATCACAGAAGGTGAGGGCTTAGCAGTTTCCCATAAATACACAGTATTTGTAAACTATTATTAAGGCACTCAATTGTAAAACAATAATTACAGTGTCAGAAAAGAGGGAGGAAGCAGCCACCTTCTCGTGCGGTAGGGCCGACGGAAAGGACAGCAGAGGACTGGTGGTCTGGTTAGAAAGACTCCTGTTTAAGAGACTGATGGAAGCAGTGCCGTAGCGCCTCCTCCAAGACCAAAACAAGGCAGTCTGTCCAGAGCTACTGAGGGTCACACTGCACAGCGTCCCTCCAGATCACTCCAGGTGATCTGCTTCACAGCTTGGGGACAGCGTGTGTGAATGACGGTATGATTCAAGTTATGTATATATATTCAAATATATATATGCAGAGTGAACACAAACACACAGGTATTCAACTGTAGAGCTGACAATAAAAAGACCAACTAGCTGAGCGTGGGGGTCAATCAACTGCCTTTGTTTCGCATCCAGCGTCAGCAAGAACCTGCAGGGTGGGACCAGGGCAGGTGACCCTGCACCATGCTGCCCAGATGTCATAATTTTCCCAGTCTCCCTGGCTCTCTGGCCAGACGCACTGTGTGCATCTGGGGCGCCCTGCTAGGTGGCAAGCCAGAGCAGGGTTGGGTGAATGTATTCTGGCACCAAGCACTTATTTCCGGCCAATAGAGAGCAAGTCCCTCTTCTGAGAACTTGGGGGAGGTTACTTCTATGATCTTGACTAAATGATGCAGCTTTTGTTCCCAGTGGAGAGAAATGGCCCTAGGGGAGCAGGGGGATTCATCAATCTTCCAGAATCGGGCCTGTGCAGAGGGCGGGGGGGAGCAGAAGGGGGTTGGACAGTGCAGCCACATGAGGACCCGGTGAGTGATCTGCATGCCAGAGGGACAGGGTGTCACTACCTGGCAGAGAGCTGTCACCAGCCCAGAGGTCTAAGACCAAGGAGGCAGGAATTCCAAGAGTCAGGACCTTGTTCTTAAGAAGCTCATGCTAGGACAGACATTGCTCCGAAACAGAGAAATGGAAATCGACATTGTCAGAGCATGGCCAGAGGGCAGCACAGTTTCTCCTGGCTCCAGGATCACTTTCCCCCTTACACTTAACAAAACTTGCCAAGATGACCTCTCTGTACCAAGCAACATGATATAATTCAGTCTTAACTTTTGACATAAAAGTGAGGGGAAGGTGAAGTGGGAGATGAAATGCAGCTGTACCAAGCTGAGAAAATTTTTGTTTCCTCCTAATGCGACAGGCATTCCACGAACATGGCAGTCACAGGTATCAATGACTTCCAGGGCACACACCCCAGCCTCACTTGTGCCACTCGGCTTAGGAATTCCCTCCATTGGCTAAGATTACAAGTAGAACACTGGTCAGGACGTGGCATACCTTATGGAGCAAACCTCCCTTTCAGAGCGTGGCATGAACCTGGGGCCCTAAGCCTGGCAGAACGCTCCAGCCAGTGTGTTTCAAGCAGCGACCTGCCACGTGCTAACGCGCCGCTGGCCCAGGTGTGGGAGAAAGCCTCTCCCCTCTCCCCCAGGCGACCCAGCACACCGAGAAGGCTTCTTTGCTGTGCTCTGATGATGGATGGGGCCCTGGGCCCTGGTCTGTTTCTATGTTAATATACAAATTGTGCTTCTGGAAACGCACAGATGATTTTGACAAAAGCCAAAAAACCCACTCAGATCTGTCAGCCTCCTCCCATCCTTTAACTGGGTAAGAAAAAAATCATGGCTTTCAAAATTAAAGTTTTCAAAAATATATCATACACATGATTTAAAAACAGACTGTCATCACCAAACCTAAAGGATTATTTTGACACAAAAATTGATCCACCACATGAAATTGAATTTGGCAAGACATACTGAACTTGATTTTTTTTTGAGAATATGCTTTTGTTGGCTGAGAGAGAGAAAAACCTAACAGGGTTTTTGGGAAAAGTGAATAATCACCTCTTAAGGTGATTTCAATTAATAGCGGTGGGAAAACAAATTCCTATGAAGTAAAATAACATATTTTTAAAAATTAAAAGGATAAGGCCAGGAAGAAAAAATTCCTGGAGAGGTTTTTGCAAAAACCTCTCGCACTAATTGAAATGCGGACTAGCCTTGCTCCTGAAGACCCTGCCTGGTGCTCTCTAGAAATGTTGGAGGCCGGGGTCCCATTCTGACCAATGTCAGATGGCAACTCATTCAGCCACTTTCTAAATCTGGCTGGTCCTTGAAGGCTTTCTGGTTTCATGGAATTAGTCTGGCTGACCCACCTGAGGACAAGCTGCAACTGCGGGTAAGCTTCAGCCAGGGATGTTCTGCCTCGAACACAGCTGCCCACCCTGAAGGAGACACGCTGGGGGTGGGCTGGCAAGGGCTGGGGTGGGGTGGGAGACGGATTTGGCCTGAGGTGTCAAGAGGCAGGGGAGGCTTCACATTTGCCCAGTTTCTTCCAAGAGGGCCCTGGGAAGCCCTATGCTGTCCAATAAAACCAGGGGGTCAGCGAACTTTTTTCTATAGAGGGCCTGCTAATAAGTATCTTAGGCTTTGCAGGCGATGCGGTCTTTGTTGCTTATTAGTTCATTTTTTAGAACCCCTGAAAAATGTAAAAACCATTCTTAGCTCATGGGACCATATGCTACAGTTTGCTGACCCCTGAATTAAACCTTTCTAATCAAGCCCCTTTTCTCTTCTCAAAATATTTTAATGTCCCATCTTGTTGACTGACACCAGGCGACCCTCCACTCCAGCCCAGAGCTGGAGCGGCTTGATGTGTTGAGCTCCCGAGTCTAATGGGGTTGCCCAGAGCCCAGGCTGGGACCGCAGGCCCTCCCGCGCCCCGTCCCTGCCACTGGGAACAGCCAGAGGGGAGCAGGCAGCGGGACCCCCCGCGCAGGACAGGTGACTGTAAACATCTGCAGAGCTTTCCGACAGTCTCGTTTCTTTCAGAGGGGTTGCTGCTGAGTTGCTCTTAGAGAGGAAGCGATCGTTTCTCACTGCTGGATTCTCCTCTTCCTCCCCAAACACGAGCAGATGTGACCGAGTGAACCTGAGTGCCAGGGCTCCTGGCATGACGGTCTGCACCTCAGGACCGCCACCCCACCAGGTACTTTCAACACCTCTTCACAACCACTGGGCTCGACAGCAGAGCAGACTCAGCAACGCTTCATGGGCCTTCTCCCCAGGTAGGGCGCAATTCAAAATCCACCATAAGTGACAACTGGGGACATCATATACATTTTCCCACCTGACCCCAGTGTGATACACCAGGACCGAGCAGTCAACTGCACAGATGGTCATGCACCATGGAGTTGGTTCAACAACATCTGACACCTTACCTAGCAGTACTTGGTGGAGTCCAGCTAAAAATTCTAACACTTTTTTGGGGTCCCAAGCAAAAAAAAAAAAAAAAAAAATTCCTTTTTGGAAACCCTTTTGCTGACACAGCAGTATTCCCTGGAACGAGCCTTTGTCATCACTGTATTTTAAAAATAAGAAGCACAGCAAGAGCAGAGGTAGGACTTATATTGCCATCCAAGACTTTTCCCACAAGGGCCTGAATGAGCTAGGAACGTGTGCCGCAGTGACGAGACCATCATCACAACTGCTTTCTGGCATGTCGCAGACGGAGTACTTTTGACGTGTGTGCATATCTCTATATGCCCTTAAGACACGATTCTTCTGGAAAACATGTGACCTGGGCTCAGAGTCTGCTGGCCGACAGCCTCTGGTTCTAGCCACACAGCCGACACTCCCCTTTCTTCCTGGGCCACGTGTGTCTTAAACGCCATTGTTTAAGGGAAATGAAGACATGAGGGGCTGACCAAAATCCAGTGAAACTAAGGGGAGGGTCATGTGATCAACTAAAGGTGGGTCAGCTTTTGCTCAGCCACTTGGGGCTTTTCAAGTTTTCTGGGGCAGATTTCCCTGATGGTTTAGAGGTGGAAGCTGGGTTCCTGGGGGTTCCCTGGGGCTCATGCAAGAAGGAAGCCTCGCTCAACTTGGCATCCTGGGAGTCGGCGACGGTGGACATGTCAGCCTCACTGGTCAGGTCTTCTGTTGAGAAGTCAAGACTTCCGAGCTTGGCAAGAGAGTGTGAGCGCTTGAGTGGGGATGAGACGGTGAGGCCCGCCAGCCGGAGCCGAGTCTCGATCTCCTGCGTGCGCTGCTTCACCAGCCCCGGCTTCCCGCGGACGCTGTGGATGCTGTCGCTGCTGGAGCTCCTGGTCAGGTTGGAGCTCATGGATGATGAGGTGGGAGTGTAGCAGATGGTCTTCAAGAAGTCTTTCGAGAAATGACTGGTGTGGTCCAGGCGGCAGAGGAGCGGCGTGGGGCTCTTCAGCGAGGCTCCTTCTGACGGAACGGGCGTGGCCTCTGACTTCTCGTCACTCGCCCCTGGCGGGGGGACAGGAGCCAGGTCCTGGCTCTCCTCTGGTATGCTGGCCTCCAGCCTGCTGGGGGTGCCATCCCTGAGGGGAGACGCCGGGTCTGCGGGTGTGCCCTTTAGCCTCTCGAGTTCTTTGGTGTGCTTGCGGACCAAGCCTGCCTTCTGCAGCTGGATGATGGACTCCTGGTGCTGCATCAGGTAGCTGTGTGTGGTCGGCTTCTCGGCTTCTTTGCTGAACAGAAGTCGCAGGTCCTTGGCCGGCTTCATGTCTTTCCTGGGTGGCGATTCCTCCTTCACTACTTCCATGCTGGGAGTGGTCTTATCACAGTGAGAATTCTTCAAAAGGAAGGACTTTGGCAGGACTTTTTGGGTCTCTCTGGAAGGTTCCAAAAGGCCAGCTGGTAGTTCTGGGGCAGCCCTAGCCCCAGAGCCACCAGTGTCCAGCCTCCGTGGGCCTGCTGGTGGTAGGAATGGGGGCGTTTCAGTTGGGCCAGAGGCCAGCTTCTCCAGCACTCGGGACCTGATGGACGTGGGGGCGACAGGGGAAGAGGCGAGGTGGGGCAGGAAGGTTGGCTGGGTGCAGATGGCGGGAGCCCCAGGGCTCTCATGTTGCTCCCCAAAGGCCTCGGAAGGCCCACTGGCTGCAGGATACATGCAGTCGGCGCAGGATTTGTAGGGAGGCTTCACTTTGTTGAGAATCCCAAATACAGCATCATGCTGGAAGGGGACACAACGTCGTGAGTGTGCAGCACGAGCCAAAGACCACAAAACACGGCGGGGGGCAGTGAGTGCAGGAGGAGACGCCTTTCAGAACCCACTCGGCCATGACTGATGCAGGTTAGAGACGCTGAATCAAACTTGCCAGAAGCTACGTGCCCACGGTCCTGGGCAAACCCTTGGCCACATGGCAGGCAGGGTCACCAGGCTCCCTTCTCAGCCCTGACTCTGCCACCTGCACCAAATGACCCTTTTCTGAGCCTTGGTCTCATCTTGAAAACAGGGTGACTGTGACCTCACGGCCCTGTGAGAATTAGTGGAATATTTCCTGTCCAGTGGGTGCCTCTTCTTCTCTTTCCCTTTCAGAAATGACCTGCATTTGGGAAACCTGTAGTCTGACAACTAAACACTTCCCTTCTAGCACGAAGTATGGCTCCAAAGATCAACCATCTAGCTGTGCTCTGAAGAGAGAGGTGGCAAAAGGTAAGAACAGTTTTGGAAAGACACTAATTCAGACCCAAACATGGGTGCCCACAGCCTCAGTGAGGGAACCAGGCTGAGGTGGCTTTTATATACCAACGTAAAATATGCTGCCATTGTTTCCAGAGGAATATCACCTGCCTCTATACCCGTTCATGTCCCTCCTGTACCCATCGAGAGGCACCAGTGCTGCTCTTCTGAGCTGAGATGGAGTTGAGAACAGCAAACGTGGAAATAGGGGGAAGCAACCCTCTTCCCTTGAGAGCTGTTTAGCTGTTGAGATTCCTAAGCTAGTTCCTGGCAAAGGGCAGACGTTGCAAGTTTCTCCTGCTGGGCAAAGCTTGGAGTGCCCCCCTGCCATGACTGTCAGAGGTTAATACCATCCTGTGTGGCAGACCGAGGTCCTCCTCCACGAAACCAGCCTCCACTTAAAACAACTGATGAATTCAATAAATAAATTGGGGTGTAAAGTGGGGCGACTCAGAGGAGGGAAAAGGCTGGATGATTCATGGTTTTCTGAGTCTGCCTGCAAGGCTGAGGCTAAAACCTCGCTGCTGATAACCCACCGAGTATGACAGCCGCAAGGGACTAATGGAGTTTAGCATCAGAATCTGAATACAAATCCAGGCATTTGAGGATGTTGGGAAATTACTGTCAATTTATCTTAGAGGTGGGAAAGGTATTGTGCTTATGTTACAATTACAAACTGAAGCATTTGTGAATGAAATAATGTATCTGGATGTCTCAAAACTAGGGTGTGAGAAAGTGGGCGGGGTCTGCACGCACAATGAGAAACATTAAAGCTGGGTGACAGGTGTGTATTTTACATTTAACATAAGGAAAAAGAAAGAGGGCTCGGAGGGATTAGTGCTGTCCCCTGTAGGTTCCCGATACCCTGTATGTCTAAATTCCCAATGAGACTGCAGAATCCCTCTCTGAAGCAAACCCACGGGTCGCTGGGGGTGAGAACTGCTGAGCTGGCAGAATGAAGGAGCAGAGGGGCTGGAGGGGCTGCTCTGCGGGGCAAGACAGAAGTGATGTGGTCTGCCACCCCGACACGCTGGTCCCACACCTACCTCAAAGTCATCCGGACAGCTCCTCTTGCTGTTGTTATTATTTAGGTTTTCCCGGTTGAGCAGGTTCTTATCAAGTTGGGTTGGGGACCTCCCCCACCTCCCTATTCCTGGGGCCTCTTCCCTTTCCATCTCCTCCACCTGTGGCAAGGGGCCACTCTGGGTTTTCAGGCTCCCAAACTCTGGTTTCTTCCTCACTTCCTTCTCAGAGAGTCCGGGGCCTTCCTGGGGAGGTCTGGCTGGCTTGTGCGTCTCTGCTGGCTGAGCCGCTTCCTCCAACAGAGCATCCTTCTCCAGAGCCTCCAGCTGGACCAGGCTGCCTGTTTCGTCGCTGGGGGAATGCAGGAGAGGGTCTGAGAGCCGCCGGAAGCAGCAGGAGAGAGAGGGTCCTCCTCCTCCAGGGGCCCTGCTGCCTGGGAGCCCAGGCTGGGTAGTATTGTCCAAGCAGGGCAGCCGGGATTCTGGGGTGTCATCCAGGGTCTCTGGCAAGAAGTCCCCAGATCCCGTGAGGTCATCCACAGGCTGCTGGAGGCAGCTCTCAGTCTGCTGGCGCCACAGCTTGTTGTGCCTTTGTTTGCTGGGGGAGGAAGGGCAGAGGAAGGTCATCAGAGGCCAGTGCTGAGGTTCCTGGGAAGAGGGGTAGGGGTGAGCCAGCAAGGGGCAGCCCAGGCTCTGGTGGACGCTGGGGGCTCATTATGTAAAGCCTTTCTCTGTTCATTTGTCCCCAAGAAATGAAAGGATGAGAGAAACAGCACCAGAACCCAAAATCGTTGTGGCCCTCACAAGAAGCCTTAAAAGACTTTGTCACATGACAACAACATGGAAAGTACACGAGGGCGTCTAGAACTGAAATGCTAGCATGATCCTAATGTCCCATCTCATCTGGTCATGCCACTTAATGTCACTTAATGTTCCACCTCTCAATTTCTCCATCTGTCAATATAAACATTTATAGCATTGTAAGCACATAATGCATATGAATAAAGTTGGGAAGATTCCAGAAAATTGTAAGTATTTGTCTAGGTCAGAGAGATTACAGGTCTATTTAAAAAACATGTCTTCTAATGCTATGGTGTTATTTTTGTAATGCATTTTTGTAACATAAAGGTAAAAATAAAAGAGAAAGGCTTAAAGTGAAATAAGGTAAAGAAGTCACCTCCAAGGGCCTTAAAGCAACCCCGACATCATGGGGTTGTGAGGGTTAAGACAAGAGAGCGCTAAATGTAAATTAACGACCTGCTGTTGTCAGTCAATTCGAGAGTGTCACCATCACTCTACTGTTTGCTTCCTGTGCACACATTTTGGGTGAGGCCATGGGGGCCCTCAGATGGGGCTGTGATTCAAGGTCAATACCACGCAGTTATGAACCCAGCCTGGAAACCCCAGGACAGGCTACAAAGGGCACTGATGGGAGTGAGTGACTGAAGGGCTGAGGGACGCAGACTTCACCTCCTCAGCCCTGCCTGAGGATCTGTCCAGCTGCTCTCTGGTTGACAATGCAGGTGTCTGGAGCTGTCCTCTGGACCCTGTTCAAGCCTGCTTCCCCAAACACAGTCAAGAGGCCAAGACTCAGCCTATGGCTCCCTCACAATACCCATCAGAAATAACCCAGGGAGGCCTCCTACAGACTGAACAGAAAGTGACAAGAGACAGTGAGTCCAGGAGTACAGCAGGGATCCTCCTGGGGTGGCTAGAGGATCCCTCTCTGTGGGGGCAGGAGAACCTCAGGGCCTCCCTGCCTTAGAGGCCAACAGACCTAGGTATGTGCTCCCTTCTGCCGTCCACTGGCTGTGTGATGTGGGACAAGTTAACCTCCTGCGTCAGTTCCTTACGCCCCAGACCTTTTTCAGGTGGGGGTTAGAAATTTATAAAAACTACATCACTGTTTACTACAAGCCAGGTTTAGCAAAGCCTCTGTAAAGGTGAGCCTGTGTGGAACTCATGTTTATTTCCCAACAACCCTACCAGGTGGGTGTTGATTCTTTACTTAGAAAGAGACAGCTGAGGCTGGGGAGACTGACGAGCTCACCGAGTTGCCCAGCTCGTCAGTGGGGGAACCAGGTCAGCCTCTGCAGTCCTTGGGACTGCCCTGCGGTAAAGCCTGGCACAGCCCTCAGCCCCAGAAGATGCTGAGAAAACGGCATCCACATGCTCGTGCCGCACACGAAGTCGTGCTTTAGATTAGAAGTCAGGCACCGTTCCCTCCCGCAGCAAAATAGCTGTGTGAGCCAACAAAATCAGAACAGATCCCTCCTGGAAACCATTTATCAAACGCCAAACAATAGCTGTTTCTCTCCAACCAGCCCCCCCGCCCCCGAGTCAGGGTTTTGGCTGCTGAGGCCACTGCTCGATGCGACGGCAGCTTCTCGAGCTCAGTCCTGCCAATCCTCTGCAGACGGTCACCCACCTCGCGTCCAAGATGCCTTCATACTCAGACAGCTGCCTCATAAAGCCTGCGTTGGGACGGGTAATGCTGCGCTTTTGCTTCACGTAGTTGTACGCTTTCTCCAGGGGCCAGCCGAATTCCTTCATCGCGTAGGCGATGACCGTGGAGGCAGATCGACTGACGCCCATTTTGCAATGTACCAGGCACTTGGAATGGTTCCTCCTGGCGGGGGGAGGAAGGGAAAGTTTTTTAAAAACTTAATTTCGTTCTCTTGGGTTTTACATAGCAGACCATTTTAAACCTAAAGTTATGTCATTGACCAAATCCTCCCAGTCCTGATTTTTACACAGCGTATGCCCACACACCCGCTAAAGGAAACCAAGTCACTGCGAAATCAATGAGCACACAATGGGAAACCAAGATCAATCTGTCCTTGCCCAACAAGTTTTGCAGGGAGGGTTCCAAAATCGGGCAGACTTCAGAGACAAAGTGGGTATCTTCCCACATGGCTGGGACAGACTAGGAGACCAAAAACCCTTTTGCGGGAAACAAATGGGCACTGAAAGAGAGATCTGCGAGAGCTACTCAACAGCTAGGAGTAGCTAGGAGAGAGGGAATGGGTTATACAGAGAAATGGGGTCAGAGAACCGAAAGCCGCAGGGCCCTTGGGAGACAGGAGGGTCACGGAGCCAGGGCGCGAGGGCAGCAGCACCAGACTTGGCCAGGGCAGAAAAAGGCCAGGAGAGGACGGGGCCCATCGTTGTGAGGAGGCAGTGCTGGCCCAGGCATGTCTGATTTAACGGATGCAGCCAGGCCAGACATAGTGTTTCTCTAGGGATCACTTGCTCGAGAATGTGAGGGAGCACCAGGCTGGAAAGGGCAGCACCTGGCAAACTTTATTTGTACAGGAGGGGAGCCCACCTGCCGGCCTGTTTATGTTAGAGGGAGACAGCCTGTCAGGTGCGAGCAGACTCATGTCTCCTACCTCAGGCTTAATAAAATTCATCCCCAAATCTCAGTGTTTTCTTTCTTTTTTTTTTAGACTGCTGGTCTGAAGTCTGTCCCTGGGGAAAGCAAACAAACTATGAGGAAACATTGGTAAGAACAGTCGGTTATGTAGCTTTGACCTGGAGGGGTGCAAAGCAGAAGATGGGGTCTCAGAGGGTCATGTCCTTCTGTCCCTGAGTGCAGTATGACAGGGTTGTTCTGCAGAACAGGGTGAGGAGAAAAGCTGCGTGAGACCAGTGACAGGCTCACGATCCGCCCCATTCTGCTGGGAGAGGAAAACCGCACTGACTCCGGCCAAGGCGGCTGCAGCTCAGGGCACCTGCCTGAGTGCACTTCTCTCAGGAAGCACCCCCAAAGGTGCTCTAAGTCCACGCACAACCCGGCCCTCCCTTCTTTCACCGTTGGCTCAGTGTCCCTGTGGTGCTGGGTTCTTAGAAGGAGCCAGTGCTGATGATGAAACTGGGGTCAAAGGTCACAACACATGCTAGGTGGGACAGAACAAGCTCATTTGGGCCCCCACCTGGAAATCAATAGCTTTGCCCCTGTGATGCTAGGGGCCTGGTGGTCTGAAACGAGAGGTCAATCAGACACCCGAGGCCCCCTAAGGCAGCAGATGTCTGTGCCTGGGATTGTCAATAGTGTCTGCCCACCCAGCACCTGCTAATGTCTCCCTCAGACCAGTGTCTTCTCTGCCCACTTACTTTGCTTTGTTTATGAAATGGTACGCCTCGTTCCAGTGGGCAAGAAGGTCTGTGGTCTCTTCATCATAGACTCGGATGTTATGATATGCAAATAAGCCAGGAAAAAAATTATCTATTTCTCTAGTGACATTTAAAATGTAGTCAACACTGCAATGAGAAAGAAAAAAAACAAAACACAAATTTGGAGACCCAGAATGAAGAACTACAAAAAACAAAGTAACAAAAACTTGCACAGAGGAAAAAAAATCAAATATACATTAATAAAGGGTATATGTTTTTATGGTAGGAATTCTGCTTTTTCTTAATAGTAATTTTTTTTTTTGGTATTTTCTAAATGCCCTCTTTATGATGAGAATGTATTATATTTATAATAAAAAACAAACTTCTTTACAAAAAACTTATAAAAAGAAAACAGTTCAAAGCACTGCTAAGCAATGTTAACTCTGGAAGGTAGATACATGTATCTACCTTAAACATATTTTTAAACTCAAAATGTCAAAATTCATAACTATTACAAGCATACAGAGGCTTTAAGAAAAAACAAAGTTTCCACTTTTAAATAGTCAAAAAGCAGAATATGTCTGTCCATTATTTATGTTCTTGGGAACTACTTCACATCCTTTTTGAAACAGGCAGGCTATAAATAAATAAACAGGTGAGAGGATCTGCTAACCAGGTTCTGTAGGTCTCTAAATTTAATATTTATATTCCTCGAAGACCAAAATAATTTCAGGAGTTTGAAAATACCTCAAACAGATTTCAAAAGTGAATACTTATAAATGCTTTAAAAAATACCTTTGAAATAATTCACTTATTCCCAGCAAAACAGAAAGCATAGACAGTATTGCCCTACATTTTAAGGATACTTTCTGTTGAAAGCACACATCTTAACCAGTAGTTCTAAAGATATATTTTAAGATTTGTTTAGTCTTGATTTTTAAATGCAGTAATTCAAGGATGCCATCATGTCAGACCCACAGGATGGTGATTTTGTGGCTGTGTTGTTTTTTAAAAAAATGTCCAGACATCTGTTCTTGAAGGTCTAGATTTAAACATTTTTTATTCCTGCTGCTGGGCATTTCTCAGACTGAGACAGGCATGTATTTCTGCCCGATGCTGAGTAGTTAGCTGCAAGGTTCCCTCCAGGTCCAAAAGTATATGCTTAGAAGCAGCAGTGGTCCAGGGGTCAGAAGTGCTGACTGGCCCAGCAGATAGGTATGCCTACACCAGGACTCTCAGCAGCTCTGTGGGGCAGTGGGGTGGTAGGAGGGGGCTCGTGGCCCTTCCAGCATCCAGGCTGTCTATACCACTGGACTGTGATTTAGGACCATTCTCTGGGACACGCACCATCACACAAACCCCAGGAAAATCTAAAACCCGTGAGTTATTCAGGAGTGGCATTCTGAAGCACATCTGTTAGCTATGCAAATCAGCCTGCCTACTGGGATGCAGGCAATTATAGGCACAGGCAGGTAACACAGGGCTGGACCTGACCTTGGCAGCAGGGCAGAGGGCTTCTAAGCTGCCTAGAAGGACAAGGGAAAACAAGGGGAGCAGACTCACCCTGAGCCCTGCAGCTCCTCCAGATTGGATGCATTCCATTCAGAGCCCTGGGGGACAGATCACACAAACCCCCGTGAGTGTCACATGTTGGCCTCAGACTGCTTACGGGATACGGGGATGCTAGCCCTGACGGTGATGGTGATTTCACTGGCGCCTGGCCTCAGAGAACAGAGGTATCAAAGCAGGTCCCCGAGGCATTCACAGAATTGTCAGCCCAACAGGGGAAGGGCAAGTTCAGGAAAACCTGCTCCCCTCTCACCAATTCCTTTCCTGAGACTCCAGCAGGGTCTTCTCATCAGAGGCAGTGACCTTTGACCTCCCACTCGGGAGAGGGCGTTTTCACATACCTCTAATTAAAGCAGGAACCCATCTACCTTTTCTGGGAAGTATTCTGGCAATGTTACAAACGTTCCCACCCACTGACCTGGAAATTCCCCTTACAAAAAGCTACCAGGAGGAAGTACCCAGAATTTGCAGAGATTTATGTACGAGGATATTTAAAGTTATTTATAACAACAAAGTAGTGGAAACAACCCAAAGGTCCAACAAGGAGATATTAGTAAAATAAATGATGATGGATCCACATGATGGGGACATTAAAATAACTCATACTTTTGGAGGGTATTTAATGACACAGGGAAACACCACATAATGACACACACAAAAATTAGACATAAACAGTATGGTTCTTTCCTTTTTTTTTGTTTTAAAAAGTTATATATGTATTAAAAAACCCCAGAAGATTAAAAAATAAGTATACCAAAATGTTAACTGTGACTACCTCTAGATTTGTAAAATTGGGAAGTCCTTTAATTTTGTTCTTTAGACTTACTTACATTTACTAACTTTCTATAATGTGTTTTCATACTTTAAAAATTATATTAAAAAAAGCAAACCCTCCATTTCTGAGCATGCAAAGAACATGGAAGAAAAAACAAAGAAAAAAACATCACTTTGCTCTTAGGAAATGCAAGTAACAGAGTCACAAAGAGCAAAAAAACCTGGGGTAGTCTCTCTGTAAACTTCCTTTTCCAGGGGACAGACCCCTCAGGAGGCAGGGGCTTCAGGGACCCTGAAGAGGCTGGCCATGTGTGGGTGCTAGCTGGATGTTCATATTGGAGGGAAAGGCTCAAACACAAAAATTCCTTTGGTATCTCTCATGGAAAAAGTGACATAAGGCACAACCACATTGAAAAATAGCGCTTCGCTAAGGCTGAATGTCCTCTTGCTGTGATCGCCACCTGGTGGAGGGATGGGCAGAGGTGCCTCATGTGCTGTCTCCACCAGGGAAAACCAACTCCTCAGGGAGGTTAGAGCCCAGCGCTGCCACATAGCTTTCAAGATATAGGCTTCAAACCCACACACTTATATGCACTTTAACATATACATTAAGTGTGTGTGTGTGTGTATATATATATACACACACACACACACATATATATAGACTGATATCTATAAACAGATTAAATATATATTTAATAATCAAGACATATACGTTTGGAGGACTATTAATTACTTCCTACAGGCAGAGAACAAAATTGTTACACCTTCCAAACCAAACACACACCTCCTCAACTTTCCCTGGAAGTGACTTCTGCTCTAACGATGGTTACCATTTATTAGTGCCTACAGAAAATGCACTTGATGCCTGAAATCTGCACTTTACTGAATCCTCATAATCATTCCACAAGGTACAGGGTGAAGAAAAAAAAAAAGGCAGAGAGACTTGTTCCAGTCACATGGCTGGTCAGGCTGGGGAGTGGGAACTTGGCCTGGTGGGGCTGACTTTCACTACTATGCTGTGCTGCCTCTAATTTTAGTAACGTGCCGTCCTCTACAGTCTCTCTGACTTTGAAAACTTGCCAGTTGCCTTCTATGGAGATTTACAGCTTTAAGAAAATCTGAGCGGGAGATGAAGCTGCATCACCAGGGCCTGTTCCTTCAATGGGCTCTGGGGGCAGTGCACAGAGTGGCTGCATTTCAGGTGTCTGTCTAGTTTGCTTTCCATTCTGTTTCTCATGTCTCGGGATTCCTAGGCATGATTCTGGGGTTTGGCAAGCATGCTCTCTTTAGTAACTGGGGGCTTTTAGCCCACAAAGCACTTGGAGGTATCTGGATGGGGCCTGTGTGTTAGTGCCTGAAGAAGGCAAAGGGTGGTAAGACTCAGAAAAACAGTTGCCAGTGGACTATGCCAAAGAGCTTTCACACAACTCCCCACAGCCCAGCAAGGAGCCACATCGCAAGCATCTGGCTGGAGAGCAAACCACGAGGCTGTAGGCCAGAGGAGGGGAGTTCCCGTAAAAGCCAGGATCGAGGCTCCAGTAACTCAAGTTTTCCCCTCTCTGACTTGCTCTAAACAATCCAGGTCAGATTTACATTCCCCAAGCCAGACCCTGACATGTGCTATGACTCTTACGAGATAAAGATGATCAAAGATGAGGGAGGGCTTGTCCATCTGTCCCAAGATAAGTAGCATCTCGTTGTCTATGAATTCCTTGAATTCTTTCAAGTTGCAGTTCATCTGTTTCTCCAATTCATTACGGATCTGTGGAGTGGCAAACATTAGGAAAAGTGACTTGTTAAAGAAAACAGTTGTCACCCTCCAAAGAAGTCAAGTCACAAAGCAAACCGAAGCTGTTTTCAAAAAAGGTGTTTTTTTGCACTTAGAAACACGTGGCACAGAGGCATAGGTGGCAGGAATACAGGCTACCTAGCCTCAAAGTAAATCTAATGTGTGTGGGGGGGTAGTTTATTATTTCTGATTCCCATGGGATCTTTTCTGAGTTTAAAGCACTTATACTTTTACAATTAAATATCAAACACATCACAGTGAAAACCCAAAATCAGTTTCTTCTTGCTTTGGAAGGTATTACAATATGATGTTGTACACGTACTAATAAATAAAAAGATTATATATAACTTTTAAAAATGGCCACTTCAACCTCTTAGATCTACCTGGTTTAAGCTGTTATTAAAATTCATCGCATTCCTTGAACAAAAGCAACTGGGGGGAAAAAAGTGGTACAGAGACTTACTGGTAAGGCGATGTGGGGCAAAGAGGGTGCTAAGAGGAACTGCTTCTTGGTGCAATCTATAGGCCTCGTGGAATTCTCGCTAAAGGTCTTACAGGTTCAGAGAGCCCAGGAAATCTGCCCAAGCCTCATAGCTGGCATGTGGCAGGGCAAGGTTCAAACTAGAGTCTGAGTTTAAGGCCTGCGCTCTTTTTGCTAAGTCCTGCAAGAAAAAGCCTTTGAGAGCTGCCGCACCGATCTTGGTAAAGGAGACAGGGTTTGGGCAACACGACAAAGGATGCCACACAACCGCTGGCCTGCTAAGGGAAGAGCTCTCTTACTTCTTTGGAGGTCACATTTTCTAGGTCCTGGCTCATCATGATGCTCCGGAGTTTGGCTTTGATGAGGCGCTCAGTCCTTTCCCCTTCCGTTGGCCTGGAGAGAAATTAGGTTAAGTGCAGAACTGTAGGAAGCCCAAGGTTGGAGTTTACAGAAACAGCCGGTGTTCCTGGGCTAAACTGAACGTGGCTTGGGTTTGCAGAGACCACCCATAGGACACAAGTTAGGGACCTCTGCTTGAAAGGCCAGTTCTTGGGGAGGTGGCCTCAATCAGAGGAGTACAGAGGAGGTGTGACATTGTGCAGACAGAGTCGGGAGAAGGGTAGAGGTGGGAGTGGGTCAGGAGGTGCCGCACTCACGTGTCGACATACAGGGCCGGGGAGTCGGGCCGCGTCGACTCCAGGTCCTGCATGGCGTTCCACTCGTTGATGCAGCTCTGCTCAGAGCTGATGCAGCTCTCGTAGTAGGTGGCCCAGATGAGGGCCACGCCCCCCGGGAAGTAGTTGTGCCTTCGTGCCAGTTCACAGGCCTTGTGAAGGACCTGCAGGGCAGACCTGGGGTGAAGAGGGGAGAGAGTCAGGCCTGGGAAGCAGAAGGAGTGTTGGGTTCTTCCCTGGACAAGGGCTTTTTAAATGACAAAGGGAAAGGCAGTTCATAAAGGACTGGCTACTGAGGACTCCCAGCCGCCAGGTAATACGGCTCCTCTCCGTGACAGACTGAACATCCTTCACCATTCCCAACAAGAAAACAAAAAAACTTCATAATTCTCTCCATCGGGCTGGTTCACATGTCATTTTATAGTGCAGTGATTAACTCCCAAGGACTAAGATTTACTTCTGAGGCTGTGGGCGTCTTAAACATAGGAGTTATAATGAAACCTCACCGTTGGAAGGAAAGAGTCATTGTTATGCAGCAGAGACATTTTACTGCATTCCAATAACTTGATTTCTAACCCCCTCCCATCAATGTGAAAACAGCTTAGATTTCCTATGGAAATGAGTTCTAGAAAGTCATCTTAATACAGAAACCAACTAAAGAGGCGGTTTGGGAAGGTGGTGGGACAGAAGGAACAACATTAAAAATGTGTGTCACAATGGTCAATTTAGTCATTCATGTTTTACTTCTTTTAACAGAAATATAGGCTGAACATCTCTCAGCGAATGGGGTGCATTAGGTGTCAATAAGGGAGGAAGAGTGCAGCCTGGGGTAGAGGGAGAATTATCAGAGAATGGCTCGACAATGATATAAAAACCATTGCCATCCCCATCACTTTGCCCAATGATACATATTTGTCTGCTCTTAGGCACAAACTTGAGCTGAATATTTACTAAATTTAGTTCTGGTTCTGAAATTTTGGAAAAGCACATGGGCCTATTTTTTACTTGCCTGTAGAGCTGCTGTTGAAAGAGATTAAAAAAAAAAAAAAAAATCACCCAGGGACACAGAAAAATATCTGGGACATCTAGAGAATTATGGTTTCATGATTTTCTCCCAAAGTGATCCTGAACTAACTAAAGAGATAAAAATGAAGCCATGGGAGACTTCTGCATAACTCTTGCTGTCCTGGAAAGAAGAGTAATTCTTTTGAAACACTGGGCAGAAGTCTTCCAATAAGGCACCATCAGCTTTCTCCCGAGTCTTTTCCAGATTATTCGAGAGAGGCTGTGAGTTTGCTGCATGAGTGGGTTGTGCAACCCTCCGAGGACGAGGGAGGCTCTAAGATACATGTGCCGAGACCAGAGAGGCTCTGGGTGTGACTGATTTTGCCCAATGCAGCCTTGATCCACAGCAATCTGATCCTTACAGCAGAATGTCCCAGGAGGCCCAACCCCGACCCAGGCCCCTGCATGCTGGAGAAAGTATCCCACAGCCCAGCACCCTGTGAGAATGCCCTCCCAGGACCCCTCAGTGTAACACGTGACTTTGTTTTATGTTTATGGCCACCTCCCTCTACAGAATTTAATCTCCACGCCGACAGCAATTATGCCCATTTTATGTCTCTCAAGATGCTCAGTGCCTAATCAAGCGCCCATCCGTTCATGGAGCAATGCCTACTGTGTGCCAGGTACAATGAGCAAGTGAATTTATGCTGGGGTGGCATTTGTCAGGAGGGACTGTACATATGCAAAAACAACACACCTTCCACAACAGAAAACAACCAAATTAAAAAGTCGCCAAAACACAAAATAGATATTTCTTCAAAGAAGATATACAAATGGCCAATAAGCACATCAAATGATGCTCAACATTAATAATTAGGGAAATGCAAACCCAAACCATCATGAGGTACCACTTCACATCCACTGGTATGGCTATTATGAAAGGAAGGCAGAAAATAACAAGCGTTGACTGGAATGTGGAGAAACTGGAATTCTTGCGCATTGCTGGTGGAATTGTAAAATGGTACAGCTGCTGTGGAAAAGTTCAATGGTTCCTCAAAAAATTAAACATAAAATTACCACGTGATCCAGAAACGCCACTCCTAGGTATAGATCCAAAAGAAATGAAGGCAGGGACTCAAACAGCTACTTGTTCATCAATGTTCACAGCAGCTCTATTCCCAATAGCCAAATGGCGGTAACAACTAGAAAGTCCATCAACAAATGAATGGGTAAACAAAATGTGGTATATCCACATCAGGGAATATTACTCAGCCTTAAAAAGGAAGGAAGTTCTGGCACATGCTACAGCAAGGATGAACCCTGTAAGCATTACGCTAAGTGAAAGACGCCAGACACAGGAGGGCAAAATGATTCCACTTACATGAGGGACCTAGACCAGGCAATTAGAGAGAGTAGGACAGAGGTTACCAGGGGCCTGGGGGAAGGGGGATAGAGAGTCAGAGTTTAATGGGTACAGAGTTTATGTTTGGGATGAAGGAAAAGTTTTGGAGATGGATGGTGGTGATGGCTGCACAACACTGTGAATGTATTTAATGTCACTGAATTATACACTTGAAAATGGTTAAAATGAATAGTTTGTCAGACACACAAAATAAATGTACCTAAATGGGCATCTGAGTAGAAGGGGTTTTTCTAGTCATGCTGTCAGCTAGGAAACTATTTCCAGGGAGTTAAAAGTCCCTAAAACCACACTTACCACATGGCCTGGACAGACACAGGCTTGAAGACGTGCATCCTCCCTGCTGTGCTGACGCTGAAGCCACTGACAGTGAAAAACAAAGAGATACCTCGGTGACAAACCAGACCCTCTAACCACACCACTGCGAGATGATGGGGCAGGCCCGCCGGGGACACTATGAGGACAAGTGTGTTTCTCTCATGCCGCCTGATGAGGAACTACAGGCCGGCTGCATCAGACAAGGGCAAAGCAGGAAAAAAAAAAAGATAGGCTCTCAGTTCCGGCAGACTTGTTTTTAGCCCAGCAATGCGAGGTCTACCAAAAACCAAAATCCCAGCAGAGGGTGCAAGGCAATGACAGCATTTGACACGGTCTTGTTTACACTCCTGCAATAGCCCAACCCATCTGCTACATTCCGCCTCAAGTATCCTATCAATATATTTTTGCAATTGCATGGAAAATATATTAATGGAAAGTCTTAGAAAAGGAAAAATATTACCATAATCCTATGTCTCCAAAAAATCAAGTTTTTATTTCTCTCTCCCAGTGCTATCTATGAGGCAGCGTAACTTCTACTGTTGGAATCCTAGTAGGGACAACTTCCCATTCTGCTTTTCACACATCAAAACCATGTGTTTCCCCTGGAGGCAAATGCATGAAGAACCCAATCTAGGTAAGTGAATGACTGTTTGTGTACTGCTGTTCTTGAACTTCACACAGCAGTGATCTCCAGTATGCTTCCATTGCTACTTCATGACTCAAACTCCCTCACATAATGTCCAGAATGTCCCTTTCCTTGTGTGGCTCACTGGAGGGCAACATTACTTCTCCTGATGTAATAGACACATCACATGATTCTGTTTCTAATGATTACCCAGTGATGCCCAAACTCTGACACTCATGTTTCAGAGTTTACAGTAGTTAAAAGAATCTTTTAAAGACATCTGCTTACCCGTCGCCATCAAGGTGGATTTTCGTGTCACTCCACAATCGGAGAACCATCCCAATGGTACAGCTTTTACTATGTGGGAGGAAAGAGAAGACATCTAGAATCAGAGTTCTCCTGCTTACGCACACACTTCTGTGTATCTTCACCCAGCTCGTCTAGCTCAGAGGGAACCAGCCCCTGACCTGGGTCTGGCCGCTGGGTGTGTATCTGGGAGAAGCTTTCAGGCTGTCTGTAGGGACTGCTCGCCACTGCATTCTAGAAGACATGGATCTGAGGTGGCCCCACTGGAGGGAGTTGCCAGTGACCCTGCTTGGAGATAGTCAGGGTACTGACCCCACTGCTTGGTGTGGCTGCAGCTCCATAAACACCAGGTCTCAGCTGCAGCTCTCAGGGGACAAGGAGCAACCAGCTGACCACAGGACCTCAGTGCAGCAGGGGTGACGCCATCACGGGCTGGCGCACTCCTGGCACAAGGCCACACGCACTCCAGGGGACACAGGCGAGCAGCGCAGCCAAGCCAGCCTCCTGTACTGGGGTGAAGGGAGGGGCGTCGTACCAACACCCTCACTGGAGTTCAGTTCTAGACCTCTGCTTCTGTGCCTTTTGTGCAGCTCCTGTTTTAACAGCTAGCTTAATCTGCTTTTGTTTTGCCCATCCTAACAGTGAAATGATACTTTAGAGACTGGCGCCGCTGAAACACACAGAGGGAATGAAAGGGCTTTATCGGAGGGGCTCCTCAGACTGCTATGAACATTCTTCAGGAATTCAAAAGAGTCGGCTCGTGAGAAAGTGCTGTAACTGTGCCAAGGCCAGCTCCAACAACCTCCAGGGATCTCCAGCTTACATCTCTGCTGCCACTTAACAGCCCACCCGGGGAGTAATGTTACGAGCATGCAACTGTGCAGACAGGGAGCTCTGGGCTCACAGAGCAGCTCCTCCTCAGAGCATCTGTGGCCACACCGGACTCCTCCACTCTCTGCTTCTGAATCTGCAGGAAAGGTAGTTTTAAGCCTTCATGTAAAATCAGACTAAGCCTTTTGTGTTTGGCCAATTCTCTGGTCCCACCTTGCAGTCCTACCCATTCTTGATGGGCTAATTATAGTTCCTTTGCAGAGCTACAAAATAAAACTTGTGTTGAGACTCAGAGCTCCTGGAGCTTCTTGGCTGTCAGTGCTAGGGTGAGGCAAATAGGGCACCCTCAGAGCCCTAAACTGAGGTGTCCCTACTTCTGAACTTGCCCCACTGCCCGTCCTTTAAGACTTGGCTTAGCCACCGCATGCTCCAGAGGCCTTTGGCATGGCCCCTCCACGCCACCCCTCTCCTGTGCTCCCACAATCCGCTGTACATCTCTGCATCACTGAGCCTGTCGCCGCAGCATCTGACTGTGGCTCATCTTCACTAAGCTTACAGGCTTTCTGAAGTCAAGAACTGTGTGTACGGTTGCTTCTTTGTTTACCTGGCCCTCGCCTATTGCCTCATACACAGGAGAATGCAAATAAACTGCTTGCTTAATGAATGAATAGATTAATGGAGATGACTAAGGAGAGTCCATTTAATCTAGTTTTAACAAATCCAGGCTTTGCAATGATCTCACATGTATTAACTTATCCTAGATGTAAGGAGAGCCGTTCGCCTTCATTTCACACAAATAATTGGGTCTATGATATAACAAACTTGGCCTCTGGTTATTGGGAAATTCCAAACCTCTCTAAGCCTCTGACCCAGGACCATCTCCAAGTACTTGGGAATCCATGGGAAAGCGATACTGGATAAGGCAGGCGCTCAACATGATGCCTATCAAGCACATACTTCTTACGTGGGTCTGTCTACCTGGAAGGTGTCCTCCCTGCTTCACTGGGCTGGCTCCTGCTTTACTTGAGTGTTCACCACAGCCATCACCTCCTTTAGGAAGCCCTCCTGGCTAAGGTGCCCTCTTCTACAGCACCCCCAATAGCATCCAGTGTTAGACCTCTAAGCACGGTGTAACTTTCTATCCTCTTGGGAGACCGTGAGCTCTGAGAGCAGAGACTGGATCTAGTGCAGCAGCCGCACACAGGAGCTGAAATGCAGTGCTCTACTGTTCCTGGTAACCCCGTCACCTACCATCATGCATCCCACCTTCACCTCCCAAGGATATGTGGTCATGGAAATCTTTTTCCAGCAGCAACTCTTGTCCCCATCACAGAAGAGAACCACTGTCCCATCAGACTCACCTTTCCTTACTGGAAAAGTCGACTCCCAGCAAGATACTCTCCTCTGTGTCCTGCCGCCCGCTGCTGTCCACCACCACCATGTACCGGACCCGTTCCGCCCAGGCGCTCTCCAGGCGCACGGCCTACATGGGCAGAGGTACTTTTACTGGCCGGCCCTTCCAGGTCGTGCCCCTTCCTCCACCCAACCAATGTCAAGGATGTCTGTTTTCTACTTTTCCCTTGGAGGTTTAGGAATTAAGGTGAGATTCTCAGGCACAGGGGCCACATCTCATTTATACCCCTGACACAAGGGTCAGTCCCTGGCTCAGGGGAGACCCCCTCCCCAAGTTCATTAAATGGGTGAATAACAAAATCCAGAGAATGAAGATGCCATCTTAGCACAGACTGACAGAGATCCGATCCGCCCTTTCTCTGGAACTTCTGGGTACTGAGGAGCAGACTCCACTTGGGCTTTTGTGAACAATTTGGGAGAATTTTCTAAAAGGTAAAAACTCATCCCCCCACCACCACCACACCTGCTGCTCATGAGTAATTCCCTACCAAATTTCCCAATTAAAAATTAAAACTTGCCACTCTCGTCTCTTCTTACCAGTTTGATTCTATCCTCACAACGCAGAAGATTGATCATTACTTGAAGATGTTGGGGCAAATCACCTATTGGACCAATGAAGAAAGTTTTAAAAGGTCACTCACTTACTTTCCAGGCAGAAACCTCTGGGAGGCTAATTTTAAGAGCATGGGAGAGGATCTAGATGTTAAATTTCTCTACCAGCCCCACAGGAGAAACATTGCAAAACATAAAGCCTCGATCTCTCACTCCACCCCTGAAATACATAATGAGGACAAGTGAGATACAGCTTTCTGCTATGTTTTAAAAACTTGCTTTTATTTTTTGAAATATTTGCTATGTGGGTTTTAAATACAAAATCTGGCAAATACAGCGAAGCCTAGAGGAGAAATACTGTTAAATTCAAGCAAATGTTATTTTGCAGGGTGGGGTAGCAGGAACCACGGACAGGGCTGAAGTAGGAGATTTGCTAGGAGCTGGTCTGAAAGAAAAGGGACTGGGTGTCACTTTTCCTCTCTAAACTCTTCAGCATTTTCCGTAAGAGACAGATAAGACTTCCGTGACCAGGAAGGAAATGCCCCGTGACTGTAGCCAGCAGGTACGGGTTGAGTGCCCAGACGAATAATCTGAGCAGACAGCAACCTGTCATTTTTTCTCCTCTTGCTAAAACTGACACACTCTTTTCCACCCCCTTGGTTATTTAAAAGAGGCAGTACTGTGGGGCCCAGTTTCAAACCTCTCTGAGTGGTCCCCGTGTCCAGCAAGTGCCTCTGGGCTGGAGTGAGGGGAGGAACATTTCTCAGAGGTGTTGAGTCTCCATGGCCACGCAGGACCAACCTAACAGGAGAAGAGCTGTGCGTCCCAGGCTGAGGGGCTCCAACACTGAGCTTTCTAAGTAGTACGCAGCTATGACTCTAAGGCCACTTTTCTCCTAGCTTTTATACATTAAAAATATGTTTGCTATGCAGCAAGTGTGACTCTAAAGCCACTTCTCTCCTAGCTTATACATTAAAAATATGTTTGCTACGCAGCAAGTGTGACTCTAAGACCATTTCTCTCCTAGCTTATGCATTAAATATATGTTTGCATGGGTTTCTTTTGGAAGAAAAGGTTCATCTGTGAAGATGCTGATGTAGAAAAGTGGAAGGAATAACTCATAGAAAAATCTGTACTAATTACGATTTGTTCCACACCCCGAGGCAGCAACTTTCAACCTTTGTCATCTCGTGGCACACATAAATTACTAAAATTCTGCAGCACACCAAAAAATGTATTTTTTGCTGCTCTGACAAAAAAACAAAAAAAAACAAAACCAGGTATAATTCTGATTCATCCACACTGAACAACTATTGCTGTATTGGCTGTTGTCATTTTTTATTCGACAAACTAAGGGAAAAGAGGTCAGTGCCTCTGACTAGTCAGGTATTGCATGTTTTAAAAATTCTTGCGGTATCGTGGCACACGGGTTGAAAATTGCTGCCCTAAGGAAACAGAATTATCATTTTTTTAAAAGTACCCTGTAGAGCACAATGAGAACCCCAGGAGGATTAGTACATTGGATTCATTCCTTTTGCAAAAGCATCGTTTAAATTTTAGGGCAGATTGACATATGACGTCCAAATTGTACTTTCTACCTCAGAGCAATCAGGTCGTTGGAAAATTGCCCCTCACAAAATAAACCGACAAACAAATAGAAACAGACTCACAGACACAGAGAACAGACTGACAGCTGTTAGAGGGGAGGGGTTGGTTGTGAAGGGATTAAGCAGTACAAACTGGCAGTTGCAGAAGAGCACAGAGCTGCAGTTTACAGCACAGGGAACACAGTCAATGACATCAAGATAGATATGTATGGGGCCAGGTGGGTACTTGAAGCAGGGGGAAAGTAACTCTGTAAAGTATACGATTTTCTAACCACTCTGCTGTACATCTGAAACTAATACAAAATAATACTGAATGTAAACTGTAATTGGGGAAAACATTTTAAACAGGCAAGTTGCCCCTCCTGTCTGCACTCTCCATCACAGGGTTCCACAGTGTACAACACCCTACATTGGCACCACTTTCTGTAAGAAATGACTTGGAGGTCAGGATTCACATTAAAGGACACAGAGCTTCCTGTCCCTTCCTCTACCTAACAGCACCCTCACCTGTCATGTCACCAACGCCATGATGGTTCACAACCACCACGGTTGGTTCCTGGCTTGCCTGGGCCCCACCACCACCCAACTCTGAGTCACAGAAGCACACAGATGAAAGCAAAAACCAGCCCCTTGTCAGATGGGCATCTCAATGAAAGGGACATTCTGCATACAGATAGACTCCTTTCAGGGGGATTGCTTGTGGAGAGTGGAATGGCTGACAGACAGACATCCCAACCCCGGTCTGGCATCCACACACAGTCTCTATATGTTCACGTGTTCACTAAGTACTTGCAAAAAAATCAGAGCATATAAACATATAGTATAGGCCCTAGAAGAGTCTCAGATGGATGGGACTGGCTGAACTGAACTACTTTTACATGGACAGAATTAACCCTCAACTGTACTCAGTTCTACATGGTGATTACTGAAGGGACTGTGGTCATCCAGGGAATTTGACTGTAAATCTAGAAGAGAAGGAATTGACAGAAAGTCTAGTATGTGACTGCCCCAGGGTCATTTACTGAAAGTCCTTGGACAGTCAGCAGTCCATCTGCCTTCTGAGCTCAGCAGTCATTCCAGGCCCTAAGGGCAGAAGAGCTGACAAGCCAGAGGCTTTCTTCCTCCTCTCACGTACACTCAAGAAACGCATGATCCAGTTTGACTTAGGGCTCTTGCAAAACAGTTTTGTACTTACTTCCTTAAGCATGCACACAGTATGAAAACACTGTCTGACCGAGAGGAAGGAGACATTTTATACGGAGTGAACAAACTGAACATTTGCTTTGCTGTATATGTTATGGCTAAGACATAAACAATGGTTAAATTCCTAACAGGGCAAAATCTTAGCAAATTCAACAATAAAGGTTCTGTTTATAGCTTTACTGTACTAGAAGTCACCATAGTAATCATTATAGCTACCGAATTCTGAGTACCTATGAGTAGGTAAATATGTCACCTGCATAAATTTAAAATTCCATATTCTCTGAGGTACTGGTATTTGATGCCCATTGTAAAGATCAGGAAACTGAGGCTCAGAGGTTGACCATAGCAGCACAGTAAGCTGCAAACTGGGATCAGAAACCAGGTCTGTTTGGCTCCCAAGCATGTCCTTTCCCCAAACCGTACTGCCTCCTTGTGCAGGACAATTGTTTTCTTGGCTTAAAATAGACTTAAATCTTGATGATAAATATCATTCTGTGAAAATACTGATTGAGTCTTGGTGTTTGCCATAAACTGTAAGATATGAAATTCTAACCTTGGCACTCAGATCCAAAATGAGGCTGAGTGACTTGAGGTTAGACAAACAAAATGATCAAAGTGAAAAGAATCCTGGCCCCAACTGCTAGTTGCTTTCACCTGCTGTCTTGAGAGTCCGAGGCCTTTCCAGCTCCCATTCAGATGTGTGCTGCCCACCCAAGAAGTACCTGGAGTGTGACCCACCTATTACAAAGATTAACTTGTACACAAATGTTTTCTGAAGTCTTCTTTTCAAACTGCCTTTGGTTTCAGATTCACCAAAGAATACCAGTCTTTTTACTTTATAGGCATTCCTTGTTTATTTGCTTTTGCACCTACATTAATACTAGATTTGATCCCTACTTTACCACTTCCCTATTTCTCCAAACCAAATCCACCATTAAAAAATAAAGACTTCCCATCTCAATGCGTGCAAAAGGCTCATAAAGAAATTCCCCTAATGAGGTTGGCTGGAGCTCTCTGCATTGTAAAAGTAATACATCCTGTTGTAGAAAATTTGGAAACTAGAATTTAAAAACTTTATCACCCATAAGCCCAACACCCAGAGACAATCAGTGTTATGACTTTGTCCTATTTGAAGGCCAGTTAAGAATCTTGCTCTCTGTTGGCATTGGGGTTCCCTCTGCCCCTGGTTAAATAAATGAGGATTCCATTCATTCTGTCTCTGGGTATCCTCTTTTCCCAGCCATGGGGTGGAAGAAAGGGGGGAAGGATACATAGATGGGATGCATGTTGCTTAACAAAGGTAGGCAGGCTATCAGCTGCTCAAGTCAGATGTGTCACTAATTTTGTTTCTTTCTAGATGATCTTGGCAAAGTGTAATGATTCTTGTTTTCTCACTCCACTGCCTTTTATAAAAACAGGTTTTTTTTCTTTTTGTATTAACTGTTGAGGAATAGTGATTATG